ATATATATATATAGATATATATATATATATATATATATATATATATATATATATATATATATATATATATATATATATTCGAAAATTAAGAATTTAATTTTAGTGGATTGTGGCTAAGCTAATTATTATTTTATTAGATAAATATTTTATGGGTTAAAATTATGGATTCCAAACTCTATATATTTAATAAATGGGAGTAAAATAATAATATTATTATCAATTAATATTTAAGATATTAAAATATATAGGACTATTTATCGTCTCGCGAACCACCGCATGCATGTTAGGCGAGCCACATACTTCCACCTCCTAGAAAAACGTTAATAGCTACATCTCATATTAACTTCCATCATCGTTGTGAGAGGAAAGAACCTCGTCAACTAATCACGACCTGTCCCATTAATGAAATGAAGGGGGCAAATGAGACAAAAACACATCTTACCAACCAGAGAAGACACTAATTGTATCTCAACCACACGCTGCCATCCTCATCTAGTTAGGAAGCATATGAAACATGGAGTCTTCGTTTATCGAGCATCGCTCCAGAAGTTGATAGTGCGAGAGATAGAAAGATACAAGAAGAAGAGCTGTACGGAGTGATGGCTACTCTTGAAAGGATTTAATAGTTTCATTTTTGCAAGATCAAGTAAAAGATGTATATTGAAGCTAATACTACGTGAGAGGATAAGGAAAAGCGCGTCGTGTAATCGGCCCAACACATGGAATTTGGGTGCTTCGTGAAACACTTTCCATGTCCTCTTAAGAGCATGGAAGAGTGCTTCACTTAATCGCCCAATACCTATTTGGGTCCTTAGTTGTCTCGATTTATTAAGTATCTTACATAATCAATATAGTAATATTTGACGATACTATATAATTATTTCCATAAATTAATTCTTTGCTTAAGTTTCTTTTTTTTAAATGTATACTTTTACTCGAGAGAAAATATATTTAATTTTTGAATCATTTGAATGTTGTATTACTCTACTACTTTATATATATTTAATCGCTAGATCTGTTTGAACCAACTCAAGGAAGGACTCAATTAAGAGGTTGAGGTGTTTCCTCATACGAGTCATGCAAAGCTCCTCTTGTTGGTGATTTGAATGAATGCTACAACGAGCTTCATATTTGATAAAAAAGATAACGTAAAAAAATAGAGACTGAAGTCTTACTATCAACCCTTAGAGATGGGACACAACATAGCTTCAATGAGCTAATATTCGCTTATCTAAGTAATGACATTCAAGTTGGACAAAACTTGGGTGATTTAGGTTAATTATCCCTTTTTAGCTCCGATCAATCTCATAGGGAAAGGGTCGTATTGACAAAGACTAAGCTAAAAGACTCTTTGTTGCTTCAAGAGATTCAAAAGAATCCTCCATTTTAGTCCTTATTAGAGTTTGAAGATCTGCACTGCCAAAAGGTAAAAGATTGATGTCCTGAATTAAACATTGTAATATGTATATGATAATATCAATATCGGGATAATATTGATATCGAGATATTCCTCGATAAAACTTGCAAGATAACATTATGAGTTGGGTGCTAGGTTGATAGATGAGATTTTTCAGATAAGAAAGTCCTTAATAAAAAAAGAAAAAGAAAAGATGGAGGGATAATTGAAACCCAACCTCTAGTATATCAGTATAGATACAAAGATAGCAAGTTAACATATATGACTAATCACTAAGTTCAGTAGCTATAAGCTTGAACTCTAGTGAAAGAAAGAAAAATCGTTAATGACTCTAATTCTGATGCTTGATGGTCAAGCAAACCTATTACAAAGAGTTATGTTTGGTAATCTTATATGAATGCTCATGCAATTATCTCTCTGCTCAATGTTGATGGTTATTAAAGACTCGATAGGCAGACATGAGGTATGATATTTTCCTAAAGAAAATATACTTAATTCACTAAATTATTTGAATATTTATATGAACTTAAATATTATTAAAGTATCATAAAAATGTGTTAACTAATTTAACCGTGAAAGATTTTAATAGTTTATCGTAAGATATTGGGATCGAATCTCTTTAAAATTAAGGATTGCATATCTTACGAGACATTTTAGGAATTTTATTTTATTTTAAAGTTTGTGGGTCTTTTGGTGTTTAAAATAATAGTAAAAAGTGAAAAGATACTTTTTTTTTTGGATAAATAAAAAAAACAACGTAAAATTAATTTTTTTTTTATAATTTTAGTATGTATATTTATTAAGTATGCTATTATTTTATCAATTCTGCAATCGGATTGGTTGATCCATTGATTTTTCATCTTTGTTAATCCAGCAATCGGAGTCGCGAGCCCTAACTCTGCGTTGTGGCGCCACCGCAGTCGCGCGTTCTCCCTCTCCGCGCCCTTGCCCGTCGCCCGCGGCCGCCGGTTGCCCGCCGCCGCCTCACCTACGGTATTCCTCTTCCTTCATTGCCTCCTCCTTCTCCTTCCTTTCTCTCTTTTTTCTTCTTCCGACCTCCTTTTTCCTTCTTCTTCCCCCTCCTCCAGCTGAGTGACCGGACCCGTAGTCTGGTACGGGGTCCCGGTACCTGAAATTTCTTTCCTTGCGTAAGCCCTCAACGATGTTGGCCTTTATAATGGGTTGCCCTAGGAAACGGTGGAGGGAACAGGATCCAGAGGCAGAAATATGGGATCGGGAGAATGGTTGGAGGAGGCGTTGGTGGAACTCTGCGGGAGGATTGAAACTGGCTTAGATTTGGACGGGGATCTCATCCGCGGTCTCGTGTCCTTCTGCGAGCTCGCCCCGCCTCAAGACGCCGCCGATTACCTCACCGTTCGTATCCCTTTCTTTCTCCCCTCTATATGTTTTGCTTTTTCGGCAATAATGATTTCCATCCTCAAATAAGCGACTCTTAGGATGGTCATCATGACCTTCGATCCTTATATATCAGAAAGTCTTCTGCTAGTAAGGTTTGCGATGCCCTTATTCTGCAGAATATCATTGGCCTGGAAGCTGGAGAAGATATGATTCAAGAATACATGAAAAAGAGGGGGTTTGTTGATTCTGCTGCCAAAGTTGCAGAGATAAAAGCATCAGGGTTTCAAGCCTATGCGAAGCCACCGGCAGATGAAGGCATGGTTGTTGCAGCCAAAAAGCAATCAAGGCCGTCTAAAGACATAAATTCAACAGTGATTCATGGCAATCAAACGGAAAATGGGTCCAGAGGTGCATCTAAAGGAAATTCAAGTGTTCCAAAAAAGAAAAAGGGTGGAAAAACTGTCACCCTTGCTGAGGCAGCAAAGGGGTCTGTTGTTTTCCAGCAAGGAAAGCCCTGTTCTTGTCAAGCTCGACGGCACAAGCTCGTGAGCAACTGTTTATCTTGTGGCAAGATCATATGTGAACAAGAAGGAGAGGGTCCCTGCAGTTTCTGCGGTGTGCTTGTGTTGAGAGAAGGCAGTACATATGCTGGTCTTTCTGACCCCGGAGTTCCTCTTTCTGAAGCTGAAGCTGCAGCAGAAGCATATGCAAAAAGGCTTGTAGATTATGATAGGAACACTACAGCAAGGACTAAAGTTATTGATGACCAGAGTGACTATTATGAGATCGAAGGAAATAGCTGGCTCTCCACAGAGGTCTTATTCTTTAAACCATCAATTTTCCATGTCTTGATTGCATCAAGTTTCTTCAAAATTGTGCTTTTCTTCAAACTGCTTTTGTTTCCTGATTACAATAAGATTTTGGTTTTGGAACTCTGTTCAAAGATAAATAATCAACAAGTAGTCGTTGGCTCACCATTTTCTTGAATCATTTATACTGGAAAAGAAAAGCATTCTGATGTACTAGTCTGCTATACAGAATTTCTCAGATCTGGAACATTTCCTAGTTGATTTTTCATCAAACATTTATGATCTCTCTATTTGCTTAATGCTAGTCAGAGAAGGCTTAGTAGAAGCACCAATGAGTAATCATGACTGAATATATATCACTAATAAAAGGCTTAACAACTGAAATGGACTTAAAATTGGATACAAGGAGTGGTTTGGAGATTCATATGGAAGTTATCGTAAGCATAAGCATTAGATTCTCAGTTTGTAAATCTAGATAGTAAATATTCAAGTTACCCTAAGTAATAGACAATAGGAAATTATCATTTTGATTTCCTTTTGATGAGAATAAAATGGCACAAACATTCTATGTCAACAGAAAGTTGATGCTATTGCTCATTGGACTGGTTTTTTTGCATCAGTGAAATGGATATGGGCATTCCTGTTAACTGTTAACATTTTGTTCTTCCAAATGTTACGTGCTAAGTAGACATTGACATTCCTTTCTATTTGGTTGCAAGTCGTCGGTTTTTTTTGTGGGATGATTTGGAGGCCTAGATTGGGCAACTTTGGCCACTATTGGTTTGGCCAAAGCTATTACACTGGTGTTGAAAATTTTATCTTCGATAATGAACTGAACCTGATGGTAGACTCGACTTCAAGAGCTAGGCCTGACTTCAATATCAGTTACGTGGACATTAATATAGTCTTTTCACATTAGCTCCCGTCTCATAGCGTTGTTTGCTAGTATAAAGATACTTCTGGTCCTGAGTTGTACCTATATATCAAAATCAACCTATCTGAGCCCTATAGATCAATTTTGAGGGGTTCAGCACTAAATTGGTAGACAAACCATTATAGGTTTACCTTGTCTATGTGCAAACTGCAAACCAGCCCCTACAGTGATTTGATAGAGTTTGATAGTTGTTTCCTACCTCTAAACTGGACTAAAGAACTATATGTATAGTATTCATCATGATGCCTAATTATAGTAGGATTTTGTTTAGTTGCAATTTGATGATCAATAGTTGTGTCAAGTCAGATGGACAATACTTGAGAATCCCCATCCTATCCACAGAAGCCAAGGCCATATAGCAAGAGAGTAGGTTTTCTTCTACATTGAAATAGGTATATTCGTTACTGCTTTAGTGAGTCTTGGAGGATTTTACCCCAAATAGAGAGACAAATTGGTGCTCAAAGAGGCTGACTATGGTTATGAAGTCGGGCAGGCTAATTATATTTCAGCAAACTTCTCTGAGAAAGAGTATACAACTATAACCCACCTATATCTTCTCTCGATCCTCCATAGCTGTATCAATCTGCTAATAACATATCTGGAGGTTGAGGATAGCTGACTTACAACTCTTTCTTGAACAACATGTATGGTCTAATGCAACAATCAATTCACAAGCATCAACAACCAATTAAGAAGGTGAACACTCAAGTCGTGTCATTACAAGTTGGACAAGGTCAAATCAACCTGCTTTAACAAAAATTTATCATTCATCAGCCGAGTTGAAGTTCATTCTTGCTGTTTACAATTGGATTTTATGGGTTTACCTGTTTACGAAGCTGTAAAGAAGCCATATCATGCTGTTGAATGCTGAAATTTCTATGTAATATTGTTATCATTATTGTGAAGATGCCTTAATGTTGCATGGAATTGATCTCAATTAAGCTTCTGTACTTCAGGAGAAGCAGCTTTTACAGAAAAAGCAAAAGGAAATTGAAGAAGCTGCTGAAGCAAGAAAGAGAAAAGTTATTGTCACATTTGATTTGCTAGGCCGCAAGGTTGGTGACTTGTAGTTTGGCAATTGTAATTTCTAGTTAAAGTGATGGAAAATTGTTTATTTGTCCTATCATTTTGTGGTATTGCTCCTTTTAAGTATATGTTTACTGTTGCTACTGCTCCAATAATTGGTCTTCATAATGCTATAAACTATACTTGATTGTAAACATGTAGGGTCTAGAAACATGACATTTTCTCTATGCAGCTTGCTCATACCTATAAAAAATGGATACTTCAGGTACATGCGATATCAGTGTTGGTTGTATAATGTAGGGCACTTTTAGGATATTTCTAAGATACTTATCAAAATTTCCATTTTTGATCATGACAACAAGCCATTGTCTGGTCAATTGAGCTTTATTTAGTGAAACAAGTAATTAAAGGAGCAGAATGCTTTTTTAATGAATAATGGATACTGTTGAAAAAAGTTTCAGTGAATTTTGTAATATTTGAATGTTGGAACTTCTATAGAAGAGACAAATATATTATCAGATATAACATATATGCCTTTTGTATTATCATCATATAATTAACAAAGATAACTTAAAAATCTCACTTCATATTTTATTAGATCTTGTTGTCTTTTCTATATTTTTTGAGTACTGTCACTAAAATTACTCTCTTTCATGGCTCATATATTACGAATGCTACTTAATTACTTGTTATTATTTACTAATTTTTTTGTTATCGTATAAAAGTATCATATATATGATACCTTTTGTTGTCATATTATTTACTATATTATATATATCATATGCAATATTGTATTTTTGAAATGTTTTCTTATTGCCTTATTCATATTGGTATCTTATTTTTTTTAAGATGTCATATTAGCATATATATCCATTATCCATATTCCTGCTTCATAAGTTCGTTCCTCTGATTTCTTATTGTTCTATAAATAACCTCTAATATGGATGTTCCTCGTAACATTATTAATGTAGGTTGAAGGTGAAAGTGGTACTAGTTAAATGGCTTAGATTATGCATAGGAAAGCAGTCTTAAGAAGTCCATTTGTTCTGTATTCTGGTTCCAGTTCGATGGGCAGTTCATCAGTCTATCAACTTGTGAGAACTAATTGAAAATTTTTCTACATTTTTTTTTTTGATACTATCCATTTCTGATGCAAGTTTTTTCTTTGCTTCAATAGACATATTTGTGCTTATGAAGGCTTTTTATGCCAGACTTGATATTATTTAATTATAATTCATTTGTAATTATGCAGTATCTGTAGATACATGATATGATGCGGCAGTTAAGTATTTTTTTGTCTGTGTTTGGGTGGACTTTAAATTTAAGCTTTGCCGGAGATAGATAGATATCCTACAGTTGTGTCCTGAACATAGCACTTACGTTTTGTTCTACTGCACTAATCTCTGTTTTGTTTTCAGGTAATCTTGAATAAGGAAGAAGCTTCAGACACAGAGTACAGTATATTAAGACCTGAAGAAAGAGAATCAAATCGCATAAAGCCTAATCCAACAGTTAGTCTGCAGCCAGTCTTTGTTTCAACAGGCCCTAGAAAAGATCCAGCCAAAGGAAAGCGAAGAAAGAGAATGACAAATGGTTTATGCCTGGAAATAAGTGGTAGAGTCCAGCACGAGAACATGGAGATGCGCCAGTTTCATCGAAATGATCACAATGATCATGGTCTATCAGGCGAAGGCTTTTGGCAAGATAAAGAAGATACACACGAGTGTTCTCTAGATTACAACTAAGAGAGAACTTTTTAAGTGGAGCTTCCATTGTGTTCCAACTCTTCAATGGTTTCTGTCGATGCTGTAGATCGACATGACCTTGGTATTGAGATAAATGAAACAAGACTGTTGATACTTCAACAGTGACTGTTTTTTGTTCAAAAAATAGTATATTACATAAAGATTGTATATTTGTTTTAATAAAAAGAGATCCCTGCTCATCCAAAAGTAATAAATGTGACAATTCAGTAGGTCGATGGATCTTGCGAGCTGAGTGCATTTGATCTCAAAGAAAAAAGAAAAAGTGAGTTTGCAAATATTTCAAGTGCATTCGATATGTTTTTAGAAAAGAAATTAAGATCCAAAGCGAGACGTACATTCAGTATTGACCAAGGTGGTCTTACAACATAGTTGACGACATATTAGTAGTTAGTAGTTGTGTTCCTTTGACAATTTCGACCATTGCTAATTGCAAACCCTGGGTATAAGCAATTTCGACCGGTGCAACACGCCTGAGTGCGGGGCTGCTGCACTCCACTGTAAGCCTCAAGTCTCCCAACTACTCCTCGGTCGACGGATGGACATATGGATGCTACGACAGTTGTCTGACTAGGGAGGTGTCCTGGAACGCAAGGATGAACGCTGGCTGTGGGGCAGGTCGGTGCAACACACCCGAGTGCGAGAGTGCTGCACTCCACAATCGTGCTTGGGTCTCACGACTGCTCCTCGGTTAGCGAATAGAAGTTTGGAGCTTGAGGTAGTTTTCTGAATGGGGAGGTGTCGTGAGACGTAGGGATGAACGCCGACTAGATCGGTTTTGGGGGAGGAGTCGTCTGTTGTATAAGCTGAGGGATGAGGGGGATGTTCGTCTACATCATGGCGGCATTGGGGTTTATAACATAAGACTAGATAACATCACCGAATAAAAGGTTCCATTAAACCTATTGTTTTGATAGAGTCAATCATTGTATTAGTACATGCACTCGTAACGGGTTATTATATCTCTTTCATAAACTGAAATAAAGGAATTATCCATATTTTCGTTGCTCGAAGTAACGTAACAACAAACTGACATGTGTTAATATAACATAATATATCAATCGATCGATATCACAAAAGGTAATTCAACCACTACTTCACGC